GAAAGTATGTGTAATAAAATAAATATGAGATTGGAAAAAGAAATATTTGGCTCATGCATGCATCAGTGGGTAAGTCTTGTTAATCTATTTAGTAATGATTATGCAATGTACTAAACACCAAATTTTAGTTTAAGTATTTACGCAAAATCAATTTGTACTTGATATTCTTAGTATCGACACTTTTGGCGATCACGCCCGTAACACCACACATGGGCAAAAAGAAAGCAAAGAGAAAACATCATGGTACAAAATATCGTGGTAAAAAATAAAGTAGTTAAAAAACTTCGCAGTTTAAAAACATCGTTATCGAAAATATTGTTTTAAAAAACAAAGTACCTATAAATCATTGCATGACAATAACACACATACATTTTTGAAACCCCATATTGACATGTAACACTAAATGTAACAATAAACAGAAACAAAATAATATATAATTGTCACTAAAACAATGTATAATTTTCACTAAAGCAATATCAAGTTAACAAATGTGAAAGAAACCAATTTTTATTTAATTTTAGCAAATTTTATAGAAGTAACCTCATGCAATTATTTATCTTCCTTTACCTAAGCATTTTTAGACTGTATTTTTCGTAAAAAGATTATCAGTAAAACTTTATAAAAGAAGCAGTTAATTTATTAATGGCCTTTCTTAATTAACTATGTAAATTCAAAATTCTATTAAGTTCTATAACTTGCATTAATTTTCTACTCGTTTTCAATTTTTAAATGCTGAAGTTTCCTTCTTTTTTTTTTCAGCAAAAATTTATTATTTTGTTCAAAAATGTGAAATATAAAAGTAAAAGGTTCCCTCTTTTCTTCTTGCACTCCCAAATCATCATACAAAGAAGCATTTACAACTTTTGAAACCTGAAAACGCATGTGTGCGATGTTATCATCATGCGATGATTTGTAGGTACTTTAATTTTTACCACAATATTTTTGACGACGATGTTTTTAAACTTCGAATTTTTTAAACCACTATTTCTGACCACAATATTTTATACCATTGATGTTTTAGAAATGCGATGTTTTCTCTTTGCTTTCTTTTCTCGCACAATGTTTTTGTACCATGACATTGTCATCCGCGATGATTTTGGTGGACACCAAATGATCCTGCGCTTAATATTCTCTTCAGTGATAAAGTATATCATGCAGTAGTGAGTGATCAGCAGCAAACATGTTAAGGAATTTTTATAGTAGAGAAAGTTTACTCAAAAAAGGCAGATTCACACTAGAAAAAGGGGTAGTTTTTCAGCCTGAGAAGAAAAGAATGGCTGAGAAATTTAACATTAGTCTGTTCATGGCTATTCAGTAAAAAGAATCACACTTCATTTCTTTACTCATATCAGGCTTTGTTTAGTCAGAGTTTAACCCTGCGAAAGCACAATATGAAGTGCTGTTTGCAGTAAATATAGTACCAGTGTTTCACAAAGAATTCTGTATAAGCAGTCAGATTTTAATGTGTTTTGGCAATTGATGCTTCTAAAAAAGAGCAAAATTTTGTATGAGTGATAATTTATTTTTCCTATCTAACTCAACATCTTAAAAAAATTCTTAATTCAGGAAATTAAGTATTTAAGCCTACAAATTAAGTCAACAAATTATTTTACCTTCTAGAAAAATCTCCGTTATTCAGTATTTTCTAATAAGAGAAGGTAACTAACATTAATTTGAAAAATGGAACAAATATGAGAAATACCTTACAATTAATAATGTTCTGCTGTGCTGAATCCTCATAATGAGTACTCACTGTTGTAATTCCACATCCACTGTACTTTTCCGTTATACACACCTACAAACATACACACACACACCAAAATGTGTTGCAGGTATTTAATGGAAAAATACCAATTTTTTATTATTTTCATGAAAGTAGAAAGTAATTACATTATATTTTTATGCTTTCAAATTTTAATTGTTAAAAATTATTTCCAATCTTTTTGTTATTGAATTTATAAGTGTTAATTATAAAATAATTTTCTAATTCACTACCTATTAAAAATCAGAAATCAATAATTTGAATGTTTATTTTTGTATCCTGATTTTGATTTAAAAGAAGAGAAAGGAGAAAATTATTAATAACTGATAATGTTGTGCATATGAATAAACAAAGCTGAATTAGTGTACATTCTAATCTTGCAGAAACATTTTCAGATATGTCCCACTTTTTTTTTTTTTTTTTTGATTGTTTGCTTTGAAAAAATAGCTGAGTAACATTTTAAATATATAGTGTTAACTAAGATTCGTATTTTATTAGCCAAATTTTCTTCTGATGCCAGACTCTGAAATAAAAATTGTAATGGATTGAAATGTAATGAAAATTGTTGTGCTTTCACATACAGTATCATGCATGTAATCAAAATATAAATTTATGTGTGCAGCACAAGATATCATTATATTTATCACTATATTATAGTTAATATAATGTTTTGTGGTAGTAAAATCTGTATCTACTCTTCAGTACCCAGCCATATATGTGTTCAGCATTATATGTCCCAGTACCTTTAAACAAATACATATATGTGCATTGAGAAATGTGGCCAAACTGTTAAGACTGCAAGCAAATTGCAAATAAAAAATTCCAGGTGTAAAGTGGGAGGCTTGATAGACATATTTTACTCTTATAACTGAAAATAGTTAAATTTTTCCTGTGAATTTTGATACTGTTATTGGATTTAAATTGTTTTTAAATATTCTAATAGGAGTATAAACTAAGTTTAATGTAATCTTGTTTACATAGCTATAATTATAAGAATATATTCTTTGCATGTTCTTTTGCAGATATCTTATTAGAGGGTGTAATTAATATTAGGTCTACCAGAAAATTCTGTCCATGTGGGAAGTGAAAGCAAATAACACATTTTTCGTGCATTTAATAATATTTGTTGTACAATATATCCTTCATTGCTTATAACCTTTTGCCATTGTGATGACATTTTGTGAGTACCAGTTTTGAAAAATGTCTTGTCCTTAGAGGTGAAGAACTCAGGTAGTGCTTGGCTGACATCTGCTTCAGGTTTGAATTTTCTACCCTTAAAAAAATTTTGTAAGTAGAGAAACAAGGGATAATTGGAAGTTGCTAGGTCTGGGGAGAATGAGGGATGTGGCAGAATTTCCCAGCCTAGCTCTATGCATATCCTGTGAATCACCAAAGCAGCATTATCATGATGCAGTATGATGTGCTTCCTATTAAACATCGCCGGTCTCTTTATCTTTGACTGCTTTGTTTCAGTGGTCTGTTTGCTGACAGTATCCCTCTGAATTGAGCTTTTTTTAGGTTCCTAAAGCACGTGATGCATCGGTTCGTGGATGTTCCACCGTACATACAACATTCTCTTATTCAGGCTCAGGCTTGGTTAGAGGTGGAGAGGGCAGTGTTCCTTTTCCTAACGATGTTTTCATAGGTAATCCACTTTTCATCCTTAGGTATCACCCAGCCCAAAAAGCATTCATTTTTTTCAGAGCATGAAGAAACGTGCAATGACAACTTGATCATGCAAATTTTGCAAATTTTTCTCACCTAACTTATGAGACACCCATCTGGAATATTTATAGATAATCCTAATTTCCAAATTTGGCCCAAAATGATTTGTTGAGCTGAATTAAGCTTTCTCACAACTTCTGGTAATGTTAGAAAAGATTTTGTTCAATCATGGCCTTGTCAAAATCATCATCTAACAAAGATGGCTGCCCAGAGTATGGCTTATCATTAAGGTCAAAATCATCTGCTTCAGATTTTTTAAACCATCTTGTGAACGCTGTCCCAAACTGCATCTGTACCAAAAGCTGTCACTAAATTTCAACATGCATCTGCAGCATTTCTTCCTTGTTGGAATTTTTACAAAATACAGTGTCATTAATGAACTTTTTCGGTTGCTATGTTTACATGATCACATTTCACTTAATAATGGCATAAGACATGTTTGTTACAGCTAGTTTAGAAGAGCAGATGTTTATAAGTGCTGTGATGAAAAGAGACTAAAGAGACAGCCATATATGTTCCAAATGAGTATCTGCAGGCATGTTGAAACTTGAAATAATACCAGACTGAACTTTCTGGTATACCTACTAATAGAATCGTCAGTATGGTTTCTTAAAATCAAAAGGGTACTGTGATTTTTCCATATTGTAGAAATCAGTTTTACATTAATCTCCAGAAGCTTTGTTATTGGTACTGTTCTGTTATCAGGACTAGATCCAGAAATGTATGTATGCATGCATGTATGAATGTATCTGTTCATGTTTGCATATATATATGTGCATGTATGCATATACACACATATATGCACATACATACATACAAATGCGCATACATTCCTGATTCTGTTCTCGATAACAGAACAGTACCGTATTATTAGTATCTTCATTATATAAAATTAAACACAGTGAACATAACTGCATGCTTTATATGTTACTTTTTTTTTAATTTATTATGGTTGATTTCTCAGTATGTAGCTTTTTTTTTTTTTTTTTTTTTTTTTTAGTTTTAATCAGTTGGTGCCTAAAATATTAATAAGCATAATAGATTCACATAAGGGATTCCTTTGTTATTAGATGTATAAATTTTCTGTTTGAGGTTAAAAGATTTCTTTTTGGAAGCTCAATATATTATTAATTATTAATTAATCTAACTTAGAAATTTAAATTTTGTATGTATAGAATGAACGTGTGTTTTTTAGCAGGGACAAGATTTTAGAAGTACATATAAATATCTTTGTAACATTATATCTTTATATTTTCTTTTTTCCCTTAATTCAAGACAGATTTCATGCTGTTTCTAAATGAGTAGTTATGAGGGGGGAAATAATCCTGTTTTGGTTAGAAAAATATGCTGACATAGAAAAGCCCTAATATTATTGAAATTTAGATTTTTTATAATGTATTAAATTTTGTTTTATTATTGCTAAATTGCTAAAAATGATATTTTATATTTGTTCTATGAAAATACTTCCCCTCTTTTGTTTTGAATATTTATGCTTGTTTTTCTTTTATTTTAGGAACTTGTTTGCAAAGCTTGTGGCATAGTTACTGATGGAAACAAATTTAATCCTGAAAGTAATAAATTTCCCAAAGTTTTCAATCAATACTCAACAAGCCGTTATCATCTGAAATCATCAAAGTATAAAAAAAAACCAGAAAATCTGGTCTATGGATTAGATATATTGAAATATTTAGTTCGAGAATACAGTATCACACCAGATGTGGATAATGAAATCCGTGAACTTTATAATACAGCATATTCAAGAAGGAAATGTAAGTGTAAGGAAGATGTTGGTGTGCTTGCTGGCTGCTGCTTAATGCAAATTCAGAGGAAGCATGGCCTCTTTTTCTCTGTTCAAGACTTATGTGGCAAACTTAAGTGCAGTAAGAAAAAATTTTATCATATATTAAAATTTGTAAAATCTTTTGCTGGGAATGAAAACATTGAAAGTAAACATACTTCATCTGAAGTCGATGTGAATATTGAAATACCTAAACATGTTAAAGATATGATTCCTGTACTATTAATAGGCATACCTGAAGAAGAGAGAGATATACTTATTGACAAAACAACTAGATTACTTAAGCTTGCTTTTTCATGTTGGATACTTACTGGAAGGTCACCAAAAGGTGTCATTATTGCTGCTGCATTCTTGTGCTGGAAATCCATGCATCCCAGCAGAAAGACTTTTCCTTTGACAAAATTTTGTTCCATGTATTCCTTGTCTAACAGTCAAGCAACCAAACGAACTTCTGAACTCAAAGCTGCTCTTTTGAAACTTGCAAAAAACATACCTTCGTATAGTGAGAATTATGTGAATGAAAAAAATGTGACTCTTCATTTAGATTTTATATTAGAAAACTCTGAAACTTTACGCAATGATCTTCTCACAAATGAATATTTGGAAGAAGAAATAAACTGTAAGGAGTATAAGTCTTTTAGGGTGCAAAGGATAAGGCCTGAACGAGAAATTGGTGATAATACTCAATGTGATCTTGATATGCGAGCTTCTGATGTTGAAATATCAGACACAGAAATTGAATCTTATTTAAGAAGTGATGAACAAGTTAAATTAATTTCTTCCCTGCAGAGCTTGGAATAAATTTTGTTTATTATATTTGATTTGTTTTGTTGTTTGCATTGAAGCTTAAATGAAAACTTAGCCCCTTCGCGCCGACTGTCACGTATACGTGCCAGCAACGAACACACTTATCTACCGGCCGGCTCGCAGGCGTGCCAGAGCATTGCTGCCTTCTCTACCTACTGTCACGTATTTGTGCCAGCACCTTGGAACGTTTTTCAAACTATAATTTCTGCCACAAAATGGCACTGTATGTCCATATGGTTTCAGATACATGTACATTAGACTTTCTACTCGAAATGAGAGAAGCATGACTCACATACACGTGTTTTTGATTATATAAACAAACGGGGAACTAAATGTTTCCGAATGGCGTGATTTATGACGTCTCTTTAAATCGCACTTTATTCGCATGTGGTAGTTGTTTATTGTAAGTAGAAGTTTTATATGCACTAAAGCGTTGAGTATTTCGGTTTACAGTTCAGTTTTTAGAAAATAATTAGATCTTGTTAGACGTGAATTCTTTCTGTTTTTACTGTTTCAATGTCGAAGCGTTAGTATAAGAGCATGCCTTATAACATGCTTTATGTTTTAACAACATGCCTTAAGTTCTTTTTAACCCTCTCCTTAGTTACATCCTTAGCCCTTAGCTACGGCCGGAAAATTCCGCATAGAAGGCTGCCTTCTATATTCATTATACAGTCAAAAGTCATTAATCCGGACTCGTCGGGACTTCGGCGATTCCGGATTATAGATCATCAGTTTAAATCTCGTAAGATGGCATGCAGAAATTCTAAAATTAAAAATATGAAACCATAATTTATGAAATAAAGAACAATTATGATCTAAAGAGTATCAAAATTTACAAAAAAAAAAAAAAAAAAAAAAAAAAGCTTAATATTTATTTGTTTACATTATTAAACATTTCTTTTAATGTAAGTTGTTTAAGTTGCTTCGTTTTATGTGATAATACTTTCTCTTTAATTCTATAAACAGACATAATTTCTTGTTCAGTTACAAAGGTCCGCTGTTCAAGTCCCGTTAATTGCTGTGCCGAGAACACCGACTAACTTGTCAATAGAAATTTTTTCGTTTTCACTAACCTCTGTCACATTCTTCATGTCTTTATCCATTTTCTGCAGCAATTCCACTTTTTGTTTGATGGACATCGAAACATACTTTCGTTTTGTAGATCCTTTGGAAGTTCCAGCATCGGAAATTCTATTTGACATAATCGAAAGTTCAAGTTTACTTTTGTAAAATTGCTCTTACAGTCTGCAAAAAATAATAAGCGAGATCCAATTTGAAGATTAAGGAGCAACACAATCATTAACATTAACTGCAATAGATAATTAGATAATTTTAGCTTACACCGTCCGTTATACATTAAACGCGCAGGCAAAGATGTATTCTGCACTTGCGCACACGCATATGCGCAGTCATCAAGGTCTTACGCGCACGCGTAAAACGACTGTGCGCATGTGCCTAAAAACTTTCTGCGCATGCGCCGTGTTGGCACATGCACAGAAAGTTTTTAGCTTTGAGGTCCGGATTATGGGTGTCCGAATTAACGACTTTTGACTGTACATGAAAATTTCTGCTAGTTTTTAATGTATCTGATTTCGGTTTGGATGTATATTGGAAGAAAAGGAATCAAGGTACAAAATCAGAGAGTCATTTTTTAATTAAAATCAAGAAAATACCACTTATTAATGACATTTTGAGAAACTTTGAAATTTCAGGGCTAAACTTGTAACGCTCGGAGGGTTAAATAAGAGGCATATTTAAACCTTTTTCTGAATTTGTAGTTACTTTCAAACATATCGATAATTTGCTTCATGTCTGTCGATGGTTTGGGACTATTTTACTTTTACCAGATCAAGTAAATCCTCATAAGGTACATTGTGGAAAGGTTGACAAGTTGGGAGATAAAGCACGCAGAAACTAGTGAGAACATTGGTTTGCGTCTTGAGACTAATTTCTAATTGTTAGAAAAGATGCTTAAAGAGAAGGAAATTGATATAACTTAGCCAGAATGTCTGGGCAGGTTTCATATTAAAAAGACGCATAAATATTTTGTTGAGTATTGTTATTGGAAAACATAAATGTTTTGTTGCTTTTAATGTGTAATTATCCTAATATCGTTTAAGAATTAATGTCATAAATTACATGTATTTTAAAATGTGAAATTTTATTAGTTTTTGATTTTAATAGGGCTTTTTTAACAAATATTGTTAAAAAATAAAATTTAATAGAGGCCATGTAAATCCATAATGACTAAGTTTATCTAACTACCTAATTTAGTTATTTATAACTAACTGCGTACCCTTAAAAATTATCTTTACATATTAAAGCGAGTTATTGCATTTCATTAATTAGATAAAAAATCTTTAAAAAAAAACATAAAGCTAACTGTTTGTAAAACATAAATAAAATGTCACTTATATTATTTCAAATACTCCCAATTATTATAAGGTAAAATATTTAATGCTATTTGATAAATTTCATTAAGTATATTGCATTCTAAAACTTATTAATAATTATATTAATTAAGTTCAATAATAATGCATCTTATTTACGGATTTATTTAATTTTTGGATGGCATTACAAAAGTGAAGTTCAGGCATAGATAATATTTTTAATTGAATTTATTCAGTTCCTATTTGCTCATGGGTCCTTAGTTTTTCCATTAATTGTTTTTTAAAGTACTTAATTTTCATGTGCAGAATTCTGAGATATTCATAAACGAATACTATAAATGAATTGAATCATGTTTAAGAAATGATAAACAAGTTAATTTTTACTTGCAGAGCATGAAATAAATTATTACATATTTTGTTATGTGCCTCAAAGCTTAAACTGGGAAAATTAATGATTATAATCTTTGTAATCTTGATATGTGAGCTTCTGATGTTGGAAAAAGTTAATTTATACTTGTCAAAGCCTGAAACAAAGTGTTTTCTCTATTGTTTTGTCATTTACATGGCATCATTGAGTGAAATGAATATAACATTTTACGAAAGATAATTCACACAATGAATTTATCTATATTTTTACTGTTAATAGTTTAATTTGAAGCATCACAATGAAATACTGGGATTATTTTTCATTCTAATGCTATGTTTCACTTCTTTTCTGTTTTATTGTATCCAAAATATAATTACATGCATAACAATTTTTTTTTTAAAGTCTGACACATTTATATTGATAATAATTTAAACTGCTAGTAATTTTTTACACATTTATATTGACTTATTAGTTTTGTTAACTATAACAAATCGGTTTTATTTTACTTTAATGTGCATTTTTTATGTATAACAGCTTGCTTAAATTAGTGTATGCAAATTTATAACTTATTAACAGTATATAATGGAAAGACATGTTAATATTTGTAAAATTAGTTATGGAGATGATGTATTGAAAATGTTAAAAAAATAGCCATAAAAATATCATATGTAAAATACATGTGTTTTGATTGGAATAGTATTTGTACGTTATTTTTCAGCTTAAATGGCATGCCTAATAAAGTAAATGGGAAAGTGACTAAGTTCAGATAGAATAAACAATAAATGAAAATTGTAGTAAAACAGTTTTGAATGTTAATGTTAGCAAACCAGTTTTGCCCAATTTGATTTATTAACTAATTTTTATAGCATTTGCTAAATTTTGCATAGTGCAGCAGAAACTAAAAATTTATCAAAACTGTGAATTTTACATTTCCCTTTCCAGCGTTTGGTTACAAAATACCTTTTAAATTCATGAAAGATCTTGAATCACATCCTAGTTATGCCAGTTAAATTTTTATTTGACACGGAATGTTTAATTTGTTTTTTATACTTTGAAAATGGGAGAGGGAATGAGTAAATGTTTATCTGTTCTTTTAAAACTGATCATGCCCATGTGAAAAGTGGGTACATAGCAAATGGCTATCAAAATCTTCAGCTCAGGAAATCCTTTTTTTTTTTATTTATTTTTTTTTTTTTTATTTTTTTATGATGATGCTTTAGCTTCAAGGGAAGTTGCTGTTAGAAGACATCATCTAAGATTGATGGTGAAAAGAAATTTAAATCTAGTTATTATAAAATGTTTGCGAAAGAGAGCTTGAAAATGCTTTTAAAAAGTGTGTATGTAAGCTGTGTTTATGATACTGAATGATCTCATACTTTATGATATGAGATCTTATCTATGCAGCATAGAGAGGAATATGTAATAGTTTGAGCATGTTTTTTCTTTGCATTATTTTTTGTTTTGTGCAAGTAAGCACTTTTTTAACAGCAGGCTATAGATATATACAGGGTTCGTACAGTCCTTAAGAGTCTTTAAAAGTCCTTAGATTTTTTGGAATCGATTTTTAGGCCTTAAAAGTCCTTAATTTTGGCCAAAATCAGCAGATGGTCCTTAATTTTAATCATCTGAAATTTCTGTCTGTTTTTACGACTGCCATTTTGAGTGTGAATTAGCATTTTGGAGGAATATTTTTAGCGATTCACTGACATATATGGTTATCTTTTGAATGGGTTTGTCTCTATTTCTAATATACATGATGGGATACTTGAGTTTCTAAGCAAGAAGTGAAAAATAAGCATTTCCAAATTCATTTTTTCTAATAAAGAGCTCTTAAAAATAACTTTTCACTTTTGGGGATGTGAATTCTTTTATTAAACGGTTCTAAATTTGGCGACTTATCAACATTTTGGCGATTTTAAGATCAGTTTCTATAGAGAAATTTTAATTCCGAGATCTGAAAACTTTTTGACGATTTTTTTTTTTTAAACATCCTAACATTGATAAATTTCTTTAAAAGAATGGTAATATATTGAAATTTTATTTAAAATGAAACATTTCTATTTTTCGCTGTTATATTATAAAGTTTCATTTTGGCAACTTATTATACAATATTTTGAATCTGAAAATAAACAAGGTATGATGCTATAAAGCACAATTTATGGAACAGCTCTTAGCAAAAGCAAAATTAGCTATGTAATTAACTAAAAATGTCTTCTTTTTAATTTTTTTCATAGTAAGTGCTTTTCCAATGTAA